CTTCTTCATGATAATATATTTTCCTCTCCTGCTCACAGAGAGAACGTTGCCAGGTTGGGTTATGCCTTTATTGTGAAGCCGCACCGGAAGCCGTGTGTTGTTGGATTAGCCGGAGCTCAGAACAGGACTTTACTCCGGAGCGACTTTCTGTGTCCCCTCGCTGTGTCCTCGCTGTGTCCTCGGTGTTTCCTCGCTGTCTCCTCGGTGTTCCGGTGTTTCTCCGGTGGGAACAGTTTCCCTGTGTCGCTCTCACGATGGTGAAAGTTTCTTTTAACGCGGCTCTGACGCAGAAAGACGTGAAGAAGGACGTGGAAACTCTTCTTCCTCCAGACGACACGGTGAGCAGAAAATGGCTAACGGAAGTTCTCACGCAGTGGAACCAGCAGAAGTTCTGTCCTGTGACTCTGTCGTGTTCCTTCACTGTGTTCTCAGGGTTCCACTTCTCAAAGTGATCAGAACAACAGTTAACATGTTGTGTTGCTTCACCGTCTCTTCCGGTTTGTCCGGTTAAAACACATTTACGCAACAACACGTTGAGTTGTATTCACTAAGTCTTTGTACAGGTTAGATTCGTGAGGGAAACACGGACATTGGTGGAAAAGTCTCTCTGGTTGTTTCATCGTGGAAAAACAAACGTGTTCTGTTGAAGCTGCTCTCGAAGCTGCGCTGAACTCCGGAGAATCTCCTCTCGGGCTGTAAGAGACAGTTTCTCCACAGCATGAATCCGGATAATGTTTCTCTGCGAGCTGGTCGGTGGGAGGACAGACACACAAGCAGACACGTGTCAGGAACATAGACTGTATATAAAGAGGTCAGGAAGAAGAAGTGGAGCCACAAGATGTGGGAGCTTTTGTTGCTAATGTCAGCTAAAGAATGAATTCGTCACTTCCTGTCTCTGTCTGTTGTGAACACGCAGGTGGAGAATCTCCTGTAGTTTCATGTGTGAAAGACAAACTCCTGATAAAGTCTGGACCAGACATCGTCCATGTCTCATTACGTCTCAAGACAGAAGTGCAGACTCACCTCAACATCTGAAGTGTCTCTGAAGTCACCTGATGTTTGTCGAGCACGTGACGCTTTGTGAGTTCAGATAGTGTCACGTGATAATACAGTTCAGATCTTTTGTGTTGATCCGTGTGTTTTTGTCGTTAAGGATCTCGTTCCTGTTGTAAACGTGTGTGCGTTTGTAAAGTTGTGTTCATCCTGCCTGGTTTATCTGCAGTCAAACTTGTGCGTCCATGATCCACTGGATAATTTTGTGCTTCGTGCTGTGAGCTGCACATTTGTCATCGTCCCGTTTGTTCCTCGTACTCGTTTCCTCGTGTTGTGTCTAAATTGAGTCAACGTCGTTGTTCACGTTCAACAACGACGGTATTTAATTTGGACGGTGCAGAGTTTTGAGGCGGTTGAGTGTTCACGCTCTGTCTCCTCTCTGTTGTTAAAGCTGTGGTCGTGTGTCAGAAACAGGAAGTTAATGTTTCTGAGCTGCGGAGCCGCTTTAATGTTCGAGAGCGTGAGTGAATGAAAGTCAGAGAGACGTGGTTTTCTTCTGATCTTTGTTTCTCTGAGCTGCGACTGATTTTTTCTGCTCACAGGTTGAATTTGACTTCGTGTGAGGTGGCGGCGGCTACGACCTGGTTTGGTTTCCGCTCCCTCTCCCACTCTTGTCTTGACGATCACAGCTTCATGTTTTCCTCCTGCGGATTGAAGGTGGCTGAAACGAGGCTGAACTTCAGTTGGGTGGTTGTTGTTCGGGGGTTTTTATTGTAAGGTCGTCGTCATTGTTGTTGGCAGATTATTAGGAACACTGTTAATGTTGGAGCTTATGTGAAAAAGTGTGTTAAAGTGTTCCAGCAGCTGCGACCACAGAAACTGCTTCAATTAGAAGGTCTGAGCTGCAAAACCTGACTCCTGATTGGCTCGCTGCGAGCGAGAAGGTCTGAACGACCATGACACACCGGGGTCGAGCTGGTTTTAACAATCATCTGCAAAAATAACCGATTCAGAATCATCTCTGTCAATAATTAATGTTACAACTGTGAGTCACTAGAAAACAGGCCCAAAGATATGGTGCCAAACCGTCTCACACAGGTGCATTATGGGAGAACCCAAATGGAAAACACTTAAATGAACAAAGTAATCAGCTGAGAACAAGAAGAAGGGGAAACTAGATGAAATCAAATATTTAAAATGTCCCTGAAGGAAATGTTCAAAAGCAAATACTTGTTTTATGACGAGTAAAAGATTTTCTGTGACGCACTGATCCTGTTTATAGTGAAACATAATGTGCAGCTCGTTAAGTCTGTCGCTCACTGACACGTTTACAGACACAATAAATAGACCAGGATGAATATTTAGGCCGAGCACGTCTTAGTTTAGCTTCTTCGTCTTACAACAAGTCTTCACACATGTTCATCTCTTCAGCTGTGCTTCAAGTTTCATTTTCAATTTAATGTTGTAAAAAAAAAAATTCTTCTTACTCTGAAAAAATTTGGAAAATGTCCAAAAAATGTCTCGTTCAGTTTTCTGTCATGTGACAAATCCTCCCATTTAAGACGTTGTCATCATTTGGACTTTAACATGAATAAATGTTAATTCATATTTTAGTATTTCATTACCAGTACCAGTGTTTATCTTTACTGGTGGTCTTTATATTGAAATCTTCAGGCCAGTTCTGTATAGTATATAAATAATATATATTATATATATGTGTTTGTATTTGTGTTTTTGTCTTAAGGGTTTGATAACTTTGTCTCAGGAGTCATTGTTTAATTTATGATATAACCTCCAGAAATCCAAATGGTTCAGGCTCAGCTCGGTTTGCTCTCAGTGAGGATTAGATAATCAGGTAATCAGCTTCTTATCTGTCAGATAATCTCAGTTTGACTCAGATTAACAGTTTATTTCCTGCTGTCGTCTCCGTCTCTGTGCTGAATTAGCTCGTTTATAGATTCACCCTTTAATGAGCTGATCAGGTAGAAATGTTACGTTCCATTAACGGGATCTGACCTTTGAGTCAAAGATTCAAAGAGTAAGATCCTTTCTGTTGGAAACAACCATGATATCGCTCTGATCACAGAAACCAGACTCCACCGACTTAAGAACTGGAGTTTCTGGTCTTTGTGTTGTTGTGTGGTAAACAACACAACACCTGAAAACGTTCTTGTCGATGATGTTGACCTCTGCTTGTGTTGACTGAAGTTGAAAGTGCGTGTATGTGACGTCAATCAGTATTTTGACCAACTGACTGTAAACAATCACTTTCAGTTTCCTCCATAGCTTCATGTTTTTACCAGACACACGCAGATCTGAGGAATCAAACCCGTGAGATTAAACTTCTAATGGGTTCAGCTGGATGAACCAGTTGTGTGTAAATGCCTGATCTTTTTTCCCGTGTCTTGTGGGGCTGGGGAAAATGTACCTTCTCTTCCTGCTTCATTCAATTAAACCAAAGTCGTTTACTTCCTGTTGCTGAAACCTGGTGGAAAACTGTTTCTGCAGATGTTGCAGTAAATGTTTGGTAATGTTTCACGTCATGACGTTACACTTGGACATCACTAGACTTCAGTTTACAGCTGACACCATCAGTTGATCAACACGTTGAAGATCCAGACAAACTGCTCATGTTTCGACTTCTCAGTTTTGAGGCTTCGCTGCTTTTTCGTCTAAAATGACGATGACATTGAAAAACTTTGAGGTTTTAACCAAACGACAAACTGCTGCTGAAGCTGCTGATCTCTCAAATGACTGATAACAGAGTTTGTTTCCTGGATCAGGTGAATGTGGTCGTGTGATGGTAAAGACGGTTAAGTTGAAGCAGCTCCTGACTTCAGATTCATTGATACAGCGAACGGACGGATTCGTTTTCCTCCTGTGTGTCGTCCCGCTGCATCTCAGGCCTGCAGAGATTACAGTCTAATCAGTGGGATAGATTTGTCCGCCTCCCACTGGGCACCAGACTGTAAAACTCATCCAGAGGGAAGATTAACAGAGCGGGCAGATAAACAGGGAGCAGAGGACGACCTCCCCCATCAGACACCTTCTACCCACAACACAGCTCCACTCAATGGGAAGGTCCTCTACACTCGGCCGTTACAGCTCAAACATTTATGTTCACTATGATTTGGCACAATACAACTTGAATGGAACTTGGAAGTGTTGATATCATGACAACACTGAGAAAATCACCAACTGTGTGAATCTGCCTCGTGTAAACTGGAGGCTGAAGAGTTTGATGGTCGTCAGATGAAGTGTGTTCGCTGTGTGTCGGGTTCAGCTCAGGATGGAGTTTCATGTGAAGCCACCAGCAGACTGAAACTAAATCTGTCCTGGACACTGATATGTAACCGTCTCCACGGAGACAGAGACGCGCTGTTCTCAGGTGGACTGATGCTCAGGACTCCGCAGCCTGATCCGCTTAAAGAGCTTTACTGGACGACCACGTCCAGGATCAGTGAAACAGAGAATACTACTGTGTTTACACACACACTGAGAAAACACTGAGACAGAGAAACAAGACACAACATGACGGAGAGTTCAACCATTAGTTAATAAATCCATTAAGAATTAATATTCCTCTAGATTATCACTCAGTCGAGTTCATACCTCCAACAACAACAAACCACATTCAGTTCTCTGCAACCTGTGTGTGTGTGTGTGTGTGTGTGTGT